GACTTCTAACAGGAGAGTGGGATGAAATTTTTGTTACTGTAATTCAGCAATATACTGAATGTTATCTACTCTAGTGGGTGAAGTGAATTTCAGTATCTTGGAGTGCAATGTTTTTAGTTTTACATTTTAACTTTTTGTGAATATTCCCAAATATTTATGTATTAAAAAAACACACAACAAAACCAACCAAGCAAACAAACAAGAAAAAAAACCCACAACAAACCCACAAAGGTACAACCAACAAAACAACAACAACAAAAAAAACCCAACCCAAACCCTCCCCCCCAAAAAGCCCAAACAAGCCCCAAATGGAAAAAAAAAAAAGAGCCTATCATACCTTTTATGGGAATTCACATATTGGGCTATACTAAATATAAGGGTAAGGTAAGAAGGGAGAGCAATCCCAGCATTTGTGCAATGTGATTCCCACGGTGATATTCAAAGCAGCATAAGGATCTTCCCCTGCTCTCATTTGGTACTGTTATTGTTTTGTAAAGGTGAATCTGGCAGGTTGTCTGCATTCCAAGTGAAAGTGAGCTCCTGGAGACAAGTGGCTTGCTCTATGAAAGAGCTAGTTCTTTTCATAGCACTGCAGCTTGCCTACAGCTTACTTCTCTAAATAGGAACTTCTGTATTTACAAATAAACAACAACAACAAAACCACAAACCAACCCAAAAATGCTGCTACAGCATGGTTGTAAGTTTGTTTCCTGGTTCCATCCTGGAGAGATGTTTTGATGTCTATCTCGTTGCCTCTGCCCTCTTCCCCCACTATCTTTGAAAGCAACCTTTTACTTTCTGCTTGCATAGCAACATCTCCAGTTCTTAGCCTTTGTCACTGAACTGGGACTTTGGTTTCATCCTGTCAGCAGGTAAATGGCCTTAAACCCTTCATGGTTTTGTCAGGGTAAAGTGGAGTTGAAAAGCATTACATATGTTCCAAGTTGAGAGGAATCTCTTTTGCTATGTTCAAGTAGGTCTTTCCCCTCCCCCACTTCTTCTATTAAAGGGCTCAGCCACAATGAAGCTTTAATCAGCTTCATTGATTTAAAGCTAATTTGCACTTGGCTTCAAGGCTAAGGTTTGTAGCACAAGCTGAAGACCTTTAAATCAGAAGTCGGAATGAAAGGCCTTAGGTATATCATATTGTCTGCTGTGCAAAAGAATAGCAGCTTCTGAAGACTGCAAATTAACTATAAGAAAAAAGCACAAAGCACTGTTTTCTTCTGCATTAATGTAACCTCAGCTTGCTGAGTTACACAAGCTTTGCTATCAACATTTCTGCTTCATCATGTAAATTAACAGAGTCGGCTGAATATGTTTTAGCTCTGTGATGTTTTCAGCACTCTAATTCTGCTTGGTTTCAGTTGGATTTAACCTAATTGCCAAACTGATTCCCATCAGTAATAACTTTTAACATTTATTTTTCCCAAAGGGAAAAGATTGTCTTGTCTGTATTCTGCAATTAAGAAGGTGATGAAATATTCAGTGTATGCCTCCACTCTGACTTAAATTCTTTTGTTAACTTTATCAGATAAACTATAAAATATTAACCAGCTTACTGTCTAAGCATGTGTGAGCTGTATACTGTTTATCAGACATTTTAAGGTACTTACAATTTTTAACATTGACTACCTCATGGGAGAGACTGCATTAGCCTCTGCTTTCAAAATCAATGTTTTTGATGGTGCTTGCTGTGGAATGCATTTCAAATTTCTTTACCACATGATCAGAGCACACGAAGTATCATTACTACAGCACTTTATTAACATTTAAACAGGTGGAGCAGAAATAATGTCTTTCCTTAATTTGTCCTTTCACGCTATTTTCTGATCATATCGGGCTATAGTTTAGTTTTGTTTGGTGGAATACTGTAAGCAGTTGCAAAGCTGGAACAGTCTAAGTTATATGTGAATGTTGCATGTACCTAGTATGTATAGACAGGTGCAGGCTCAGCAACTAGATTAAAGCATGTCTATGTAGATTCTTGTTTGGGAATAATGTCTGAAAATACCTTATTTTTTGCATGTACAAGTCAACTTTTTGCAAACCTGACTTATTTGCAAAGATGGAAGGAGGACAAACTTGAGTTTGTGTCTGTTTGCCGTTGCTGTATTTTGTTATATCTATTAAGAAAGAGAACACAGTTTCCAAAAGGTTATGGCCTCTTTTGTGTGCATGGTTTTGGAACAATTCGTGAGCTTACTGCAATGATGGAAGAATTTCAATGCATTCATTAAAAAAGTGACTCTTGCTTTCATTAAAAACGTGACTCTGCTTTCTTGTCAGTTCTGTGAAGTGAGTGCAAGCCTGAGCTGTGACAGTAAAGTCAAAGCAATATTTAACTTGTTACCTTCTCCATAGAAATCCATATGTTCATTTGCTCTTACCTTTTTTTATCTTTGAAACACCTCCAACTTATAAGTGTTGCAGTCAGAATCTGCGTGCTAATATTGAGAGCCTGTTAAATCAGAGGTATTTAAAAGCTGGTAGTCACAGATAGAGTAAAAAGTCAAAAATGGAACGTGTGGAACGCTGCAGGAGTGTTTCACACTGCCTGCTTAGGTATCTGCAGCAGGGAGGCATAGCATTCCTCACCTACCCTGTACATTTACATGTGGCTGCTGGAGACATATACAGGCCTCTCAGGATTTTTCTTACTTGACAAGTGAAGCTCTGTATGCCAACGATGTGGCTATGAGAGGTCTTTCTGTCCCATCCTTTTCTCCCTGTTCTCCTGCACTGGATTATATGACACAAAAATCTGCAGCCAGGAAGAGTCTGCTTTTTGTCAAGGCTCCCCACATGTGCAGAGTGCTGTAAGGAGGCTCGTGTTCCCTGGTACAGTGTCTTACTTCCACTGGAAGCCCAGTACCAGACATAACTGCTCTGTGAGCCACGCAGCCACATCCAGCGGTCTGATGCTGGAGTGCGGCATTGTGCTGCCAGCCTTGGAGCTGTTGGAGGTAAAGCACGATGGACATGATAAGAGTCTCATATGTAAGGTGTGAAACCAGATAGGTCTGTGTCTAGAATATGTGATGCTGTGGGTATTTAAAAAGCTTTTCATTGCTAGAAATTTGAGACGACAATTGCATGAGGAATAGCAGGGGTCTGAGTGACAAGCATTTCTTTCCAGGCAAGCGGTAATAGACACTCCATCCCAGACTACATTTGTTTAAGATATGGATACCTGTTAGATTTGGCAAGGTGTTCTGAGGTTGTCCTCCTCTGCAAGTGAATGGCAGTCCATATGCCCTTGTGTTTGATGGTCTGGCAGATAGGACCTTTTGGCCCCATGTGGTATGCTAAAAATTAATTTTCTTAATTAAAAATGGCTGTTTTCACAAGTGACTCATTTTTCTGTGAACAGGCTTATTAGAGAGCCTTTTCAAGTTGAAATTTTTTGAGCACATGCTAGGGTAAGGCTTTGAACTGTCAAAGCATCTCATATTGAGACTTTCATAACAAAGTTCCAGCTTTAGTTGTAGAAACATCATCTCAGTAGAAGTTGAAAAAGAGTTAAAATGTTCAAAATGAAAATTTGATTGTTAGTCAGGATTTTCTTCATAATTCTGACTTTGTTTTGGACTCTACTCAAGTCACAAGCATTTGTTAATTCTCAAATTTTCCTAGCATAGATTCTTCTAGTGCAGTACCTTGCTTCCCTGAGGTGTAATAAATATCAAAGCAGTTGGAATTGCGCTGTAAATGTATACGTAGGTTATTCTTTCTTCTTTGTTTTGTTTTTGGTTTTGTTTGTGTTTTTTTTTTTCCCCAGAGCAAATTGCAAAGTTATGCAAGACAACAGCAAATAATAAGGGATAAACTACATTGAGACAAGACTGCCTCAGAGCAGTAGAGCAGACCACCAAGAAGGTCAAAGACCTTGACTGGGCTTTGCCAGTATCCCAAGTGTTCTTATCTGAAGTTCTGCTGCAAATATCCTAGTTAATTTCTTATGTGATTTTTTTTGTTTGTTTTGTTTTTTGTTTTGTTTTAGTTTTTTGTTTTACTCCTCAAGTTATCTGTTCATGCGGGTAGCTACTGTTTGATAGGATGCTGTAAGTTCATTTTTATAAAAGAAAAATATGCTACAGAGACAGCTGTTCCATTTGCAAGATAACTAATGTGATGCAGACTTATTAAACTCTGTATTGATTAATACATACAGCAAACATGTTAATGCAAGGGCATTGGAACAGCAGTTTAAAAATGTGAATTCAGTCAGGAGTTCTCTAATATGGTCCAGTTCCAATACATTACCAGAAAATATCTTTTTGCTTTTGAACTTAAAGAACCAAATGCTGCAAACAAATGCATATTTAATTAGCCTTGATGACTCCTCCACTGTGTCCTCTGGGAGCAGAGTAACTCACATGTGATAAGTGGCTGGTCTTAACATGTGTTAGACTTCTGTGGAAACCTGCTATAAAATTATTTGGTACATATTCAGTGACTTCTTCAGAAAATACTTAAAACACTTCTCAAAAAAACACACTTCCTGGTATCATTAAAAAAAATGAGGAGGAATGAATAGTCCCAAGAAATTGGATTTTAGTTACCTGATTCATAGCCTGAGTTACTGTTGATTTGGTTTGTGACGTTCAAGGATGTGTATGTGTCCCTTCATGTGTGTGAATTTTGCCCCAGCTGTAATGACATCACAACTTAAAAACTGGGAGGCTGTCTGACTAACTGCTTAATTTAATGTTACTGCTGCTCTTCAAGAAGGCAATGTGAACTTCTGGTTGTGTTTGAGTACCACTGCCTATAAACTTGTAGGGAAGGTACAGAAAATGCCTTGCTCTGTGGGAGAAGGAAGCTAACATTATTAGGAAAGGTCTCTCATAACTTGGGGATGTCTATAACTTGTTGTGGCTTTTGACTGCAATGAACAGTGCTCATGTTCAGGAACAGGAGTGTTTATAAACCTCTGTCATTTAGCAACTGTGGCAAACTTTTAGGACACACTCATCCTCTTTTTGCTACTTTCTTGGGGTAAAGAATTATTTCCTTTATTTTAACATGTACGAAGTGCAAATGAGAGAACCAGATGCTTTAAGCCAATTCTCAATGCTTAACCTTAGTCTACAGAAGCTTGTTGTTTTCTGTGGTCAATGAACAAACAGGTTACACCAGGACACGTGAGCTAGTAATAGAATATCTCAAGTTGGAAGGGACCCATATGGCTCATTGAGTCCAACTCCCTGCTACTTACAGGACTACCTAAAATTAAATGATATGACTAAGAGCATTGTCCGGATGCTCCTTGGACTCTGACAGGCTTGGTGTTGTGACCACTTCACTGGGGAGACTGTTCCAGTGACTGACCACCCTCTTGGAGAAGAACCTTCTGCTAATATCTAATATGAACTTCCCCTGCCACACCTGTATTCCATTTCCTCATGTTCTATTGCTCATCACCAGAGAAAAATGCTATGCTTCTGCTTAGCATTTCTCTCTAGAGCCTGAAGCACCTTTCCATCCTCCACTCACTGTAGCTAGACTGCAAGGAAAATACCATCCAAGGGCTGGTGGTAGCATTTGTGAGTATCTCAGTATAGCCTTGCAGCCTGTGGAAGACATGTAAATGAAAGCACTGCCAGACTGAATTCCTTACTACAGTATTGTGTGCAAGATCAGACCTAAGTGAAAATTAGGACTTTGCACTTAGTTAAGTAAAATATTGGACTGGGTACTGGTCTAGATTTATCTCATTTTAAGCATGTAGGCATTTGTGACTGAAGTGCTAAGTAATTGAATGTCACTGTCATTGCTCCTTTAGAATCAATTCTAAGATCAAATCGTGTGTGTGGCAGTTTCCACAGAAATATCTTGTGGTGGCTTTCTGGATTAGTAAAAACGATTGTTTCTTGTTGCTGGTGTGAAATGAGTGGGTGAGCTACCATGCTGCTAATGCATTATTGCTTTTACCATTTAGGCAGATCATGATGACTGAAGTGATGTGTGTCCTAATTGAAGATAGAATAAGACCTCTCATCACTAAGGATTTGAAACAAAGCCACTGAAATTAATGAGAGAAATTGCCATTTGCTGCAGTGTTAGCTGGCAAAGGTGCGGAATCCTTAGCTCTGCTTTGGAGGCTCCCACACCTTCTAGCATAGGAATTTGCCTAATAACTAACTGATTTTGAATAAGTCATCCATTTTGCAAGGAATGGATGGTTTTGGCACTGATGTAGGACATAGAGTAGAAGACCTGTGCAACGGCAAAGCATTCCTTGGCTCTGAGTGCAACAGAACTTGTTCTGTTAGTCACACATAAGCAGCCCAGTGTACTTCATGCTTATTGGTTCACCTTGTTGATAATTGCAGCATGCAGCTAACAACTGAACCTGCTGAAAACTAATTCACCTATATTGTTTCTGGTACTTATACTCACTGGTGTCAATTAAGTTCAAAGGGCACAGAAAGACAGCTTGATTTTCCTTGAGTGTTTATGATCTTTAATATGTGCAAAATGATGATAACTCTGTAAAAACTCCAGCTATTTTGTAAGATTTACTGTCTTCACTAAATATCTCCCACTTTCTTGGTTTGTATTTTGTAAGAGAATTACATGGGTATGGGAGGGAGAAAGGGAAAAGAACGTGAGACTCTTAATTTTATTAATTTCCCTTTTACCAGACTGTTCTGATTCATGCAGCATGCAGAATGCTGTTCATCATAGTGTTCCTTTTCATTGGAAATACCAGATTAATGCTTTCATGCTATTTGCTGCAGTCACGCTCTGACAAGTTTTCTTTGGTTTCATAATTTGCTATTTCATTTGGAAAAAACCTCTGCACATTTTTTAAAGAACCAGGAGACAGACTTTCTCAGGTATCCTCAAAGCTTAAGTAACCTGATTCAAACTTGAGGCATTCCAGCCGCAGCTGCTCAGTCCCACCCACAAACCACAGCCTCTTGCCCTGTCAGTTGTGCTGATACAGCTATTAGTAGGACCATGCACTGTTAATCGGTTCACTGAGCTGGTTTAAGCAGTCCTCTGAAAGTGAGTGTTTATTTTTAACCCTGATCTGACTTGCAGCACATGTCTACAAATCATTTGTCAGCACAGTGTTTGGCCAATAACCACTACCTTAACATGGGCTGAAACTTCCAGAGCGTGGAACACAATGCAGCTGGATGTCTATAAATACTTCCAAAAGATCTGCACCATGATGTATGTCTACCTCAGTATTCTGAAAGAGTGAGAATAGGTCCAAAAGTCTGTGGTTACCAAGCCAAGGTCTACTGAAAACCAGATTTGAAGGAAATAATGGAAATAATGTTTGCCTACTTCTTTTCTCCTTCAAAGGACTTAAGAAGCGAGACTTAAACAATTTACAATGTAGTGTTAACAAAATGCTATTTCACTTGCATCCCAAATGGGGAAAACAAGAGAAATTGTTATTCACACACTACTAGAAGGAAGTCTGTAGGGTATTCCTCACAGTTTTCTGATGTGCCTGTGTAGCAAGTATTCCAGCAGTCTCTGTTGCCCAACCATGAATGGTGAGTGCCGTTTTAGGTGTCCAAGGGCATCCAAGCCATCTGCATGGGTCTGTGAAATGCAACACCGGGATGATAAGCATGCTATCCAGCATAGGCAGGTAAAAGCCATGTAAGATACCGTACAACACCTAAAAATAGCACTTTTAATGACATCTAAAAATAGCCTTAGACACCTGTGCTTTGGTAGTTGACTGACACCCTGTGAAAATTGTGCTTAGAATAAGAAAGCCTTCTAAATCCCATTAGGCAACTGAAAAGCAAAGTGATTTCTGTCAGGTTTACACTTCATTCATACTGCTGATTTGTCAGAAGAAGGCTTACAAAATGCTCAGCTGAGCCATAGCTCCTTGGCCTCTGTATCAGGAGCAAACAGGTGGTTCTGGCTTTGTGAAACTCAAAGTGAAATAGAAATGCCAGAAGAGATGTGAGTGGGAAGAATGTGAAGGTGAGTGAACAATTAAACCAGGGTGGAAATGCAGAAATCTCTGCATTTTGAATCTGCTGCTCCACCTGTAAGGTTGGAAGCCCCTAACCTTTTGTACTGAACACTAAAAAAAACATTATGTTGCCTGGTATGCCAGTGATGTTGTCTGGTTCTGAAGCTATACAGATGTCTGTAGCACATGTACTATGCATTAGATCTGACACATTCAGGCAGCACCTTGGGCACATGAAGCACATGAACAGTTGGTTCACTCAGGAGGTTTGTTGTACAGGTAGTTGAAATGTAAATATATAGTGGTAGTCTGTTACCTGGTCAGGTAGGTGTACACCTTTTAGGTGTACCTAGGGATAACTATGTGGTTCAGTAATCTTAGTAAAATGAAGGTAATTCTCTTGACCTTGTCTGTAAAGCATTGCTCTTTTATTTCTAAACTGCTGAAAAACTTTTTCAGGCCTCATTTTTCTCTTTGTAAAATGGGGATATATTTCTCAGTCTTTACTGCAGTGGAGGAGAAAGGGTTAGTTAGCCAGTGTTTATAGAGAGGGTTGTGTTCTCAGAGGAAAGGAGCCAAATATTTGTGATGCTGCAACATTGTGAAACACCGTTTGTCATGAAGTTCTAGAGATCAGACTTAATTCTAGGGTGATTGTCTTGATTCCTGCTCAATCACTGCAAGTTATGAATTATTACAGAGATGGCCTGTAGATTGTCAACACCCTTAAGTGAATCTTCTTTTCATAGTGTGCATTATATTTTTCAGTAAGATGCACAAAACATTTTAAAGCTCTAAAAATAGCAACTGCTCTTCTGAGATCAAGTTATGCTTGTGTGTGAAAGCAAATATGCATGCTGAGTAAACACACAAAAGCTATAAAGGCAGTATGGATACCTTCTAACACTTGTGTTTTACCAAATTCCATATGAATGCTTGCATTACCTGGATATAATAGATGAGTTGGGTTTTTTTCTAGACAAACTCTGTTACCTGGTTATCAGGTCAGCTACTAAGAAGCTTTGGGAACTCCCACTGTGAGTCACCACTAGATTGTTCCATGCTGCTTCCTACTCTTTCATTGTACTTTTCTTGTGTAGTATGTTATGGCTTTAATAACAGGAATTTCTTTGAAGTCTGTATACCTTATACAGAGAAGATAGGAAAGAGACATTATTTGTGCATAGTTATTTTTGTTACTAATAACTAGTGAGATTAACGTCTCCTGCTGTGGCTGCTGTCTCACTCAGGCCTTGCAAAAAGGGAATGAGAGGAAAGCATGGAATTTGATGAGGAGCGCTACTTTCTGTACTTTGATGGGGGCTGATCTGGCTGATTATTGGGAACTGTGCTGCTGATTGCTTGCTTGTGCACTTTCTTTTTCTCAGCAGACACCACTGAATCGTGCAATTCATAATAGATTAGAGGTGAGAAATAGAAACCCTTTGCCTCCAGTTCTCTTAGAATTTGGGGAACTGAATTCAAATTTAATAGAACAGCGATTCCATCCCCTGAGCCCTGACATCATATTTCTATTCTGTTGGTTTGTGGTTTATGTTTTTACCTTGAGGCTAATTTCCTTATTATAGGACAAGACCTTCATAAAGTGCTACAAAAGTACTTACTTTTGTATTGGATGCCACTATGACTAATATGATTTCAAATACAATATAGATGACTTTCATATCTAAATAAAATGAACAAATAAATAACTGATCATATTTATTTTATGCACTCTCTACACAGTTGTGGTCCAAAGAAGGACATAGACAGCTCAGGAAAGGCAGCTTTCCTTTGAGAGAGCATTTGGCTATTCTTAGTTGAGGAATTCCTGCTGGTTTCGGTATGTCAGCATCTGTTTTGATAACAGTCATCTTGTGCAGCAGAAGCATTGCTGTTTTGTAGGAACCTAAGGCATGCCAGGCCCATAACCATAGCTTAATGGATATTGCAAACTGCTGGAAACCTGAAAGGTTCAAATTCAGTCTAAGGAAAATGTTCAAAGGATGGTAAATTGCTCACCCTTAATTTGCTTCCAGCATGTCAGCTGTAAAACTGGGAAGAAAAGACCACCAGTCTGACAGAATGTCTGTGTCTAAGAGTGAGAATTACCTTGCTTACACATTTTATATGGACCTACTTACTGTTTGGGTATTTTGCTGTTTTAAGCTTTTTTTCAAAACATTTCCCAGATGCAGCAGGAAAATGACAAGATGTGGCTGTTGAAATGGTGAACGTAGTAAAAGAATGAATAAAAATAAAGGCTACCTCATGCTGGAAAGACTGGTCAAATAAAATTTGCCTTGGCTTTGGAGTGGAGAGGATAAAAAGGAAAGGACAAACCCATGCTGTGGCATGTGTTTGTGTGCTGCTCTCTGCTCACATACCTTGTGTTGCTCACATGGAAGTTTAAGGAGACTAGTGTGGCTCTGTCAGCGCTCTTAACACTGGGAGACTGGTTACTGCCAAGCAGAATGCCTCAAACTCATTGTGGGGCTATGCATTAGAATAGCATTAAAAGCTGAGCTGCTGTTATGTGTGTTTTATTGGATCAAAGCCCTTAGATTAAAACATAGAGGCTCCATATGCAAA